ATTAATTTTTACATGTGATATTGTAATATTATCAATATTTTGTGATTGTTATATCATATAATTTATATGTAAATAAAAAATTAAATTTTACCTAACAATCTATGTATATTATTGTAATTATTATTTAAAATAATTTTATTTTTATATATAAAAAAGTTAAATAATAATTTTAAAAATAATTTTTTCAAAATTAACTTTTCTAAAATTGAAGTTAATTCAATCTTAACTTAATTTTATTAGTTTTATAAGCCATTAACTTTAATTTATTTTAGTTTTAAAAAAATATTAACTTATCCAACCCTGGTATTATATGATAATGATAATGCACCATATGCTATTACTACTATGAATGTCCAAAATAATTCACGTCCCAGCAAATATAAAATTATATGTAATACAACTGAATATAATGAATATATATTATGTTATAGTCATGGTTGGACATATATTTGAAAACTTTTATTTAAAAAACAGTATTTATGATATAAGACACACAATTGTATCTTGTATTTGTAATATATAAAACTTTTAATTTTTTGATTCTAAATACAAAATACGTCATACGCGTTTATGTGTGCTCTGTTGAAATATAAAATCTAGTTTTGTAAAAAAAAACTGAGGCGCATCGATTGCTTGTAGAAGTATATATGGTGAGGCTGCCTTAAGTGAGAGACAGAGAAGTTGCCGTGAGTGGTTCCAAAAGTTTAAGAACGGTGAATTTGACGTCGAAGACAAAGAACGTAGTTTCGACGTTTTTTTGTTTTTTTCGAGAAAAAGTAGTGGCTATAGCGATGGACAATACTTTGAATAAAACATAGGAACCGTTCTTTCACAATAAATGCCCAATTTTTGATGAAAAAACGGCGGAAACTTATTTATACTCCTAATATTATATAATTATATATATACATATATATAATAATTATAGTAATTATAATTATCACGCATAATAATTTATATATATTATAGATATAATAAAAAAAAATTATAATAAACTAAAATTTAAATTAGAAAATGCCAATATGAACTCAAATGTAAATTAATTCGTTTTTATTACACAAATTACATGTATACGGGTATACATATGTGTCTCATATTACCGCATTTTTTTTAAAGACATATTTTTGAGATAATTTTATGATAAGAATTTTAATAAAAATATGTCGAGGTTATATTAGTTTTTAAATTAATCGCAATGAAATTTCGCTAATCATAGAACTAACATTTCGCGCACTCAGGCATGATGATATGACAAATGTTTACCATACGAAACAAATGAACATATAATTACGAATTTATTTTGACAGCTGATACGTATCGTAATAGGTATCTTGTTATTGAATTGATATTTTACAATATACTATTTCGATATTAATTATGCATATCTATTAATTATGCACATGTGTGTGTAACTAAAAATGTACAAATCTTTTTCAAATAATTTTCTGAAAAATATCGCATCTTAAGGGAACCCTCGTGGTACATTCACCACTTGTCATATTGTCATGCCTGAGCGCGCGAAATGTCAGCTCTGAGATCAACGAAATTTAATTGCGATTAATTTAACACTAAACGTACCGAGATATTTAATATATACCTACTTGTATAATACTATAACCGGTCAAATGACATGTCGCGATAAATAACGCTAGGCTACACGTGTTTATCAGATTTAACAAATAAAAATATAAATAAATAATATAAAATTAATTGTATATATTTAATAGAAAAAGTCATGAAGTCAAATGTGAAAAAGCGATAACATTTCATGCGAATTTTCTAATCAAAAGTTTACAACCGGTCATTTGACTGGGTCATGATACGTTTAGTGTTAAATACTATTATAGCCTTGACATTTTTATATTAAGATTCTCATAAAATTATCTCAAAAATACGTTATTTAAAAAAATGCGGTAGTGAGACACTCTGTATATACGTTTCGATTCTCGGTTCGAGTTTTCTTCAGTACTAATTATTCCTAACTAGAACAACGATTTTGAAAGAACCAACACACGTTTTTTTATTCTCATCAAACATAGTAATTTGATGAAGACTAAATTTGGTAAAAGTTGGACATTATTACATGGTTGACTATCCATAAGCCTTATTTAAACTTATCCACGAGCCGCATGTACGATAGTTTTAATGAGCGCATTTTAATGCTCTCGTTAAACTTATAGATGAGTTAATGTGTCATCTGTGAATGTTATTGATGTTGTATTAGAAATAGACAAGCAGACATTTCAATATAATCTGTAATTGATCATATTTTCAACCCTTATTATTTAAAAAATTACTGTTTAAAATAAAAATTTATAAATAACTTTACTTAATTTTTTGAGAACTTTTTAATATTTTAGATCGCGAATTTTGTAACACATAAAGTTATATTTTTATTATTAATAACAAATTTTAGAGGAAAATTAATAAACCCACGTGGATACAACAAATATGTTTATTATGTTACACAATGTTGTAACTTCTAATTTTCTCGTCACTCAGACGACATTTGTGCTGGGTGAGAATCCATAATCTTATAATGAGAACATGATAATTAGGATATACATAATTTTGGTTTTTTCCGTCAATTTCATACAGTTTTTCTTCACGCCCATGTTAAAAAATTTACTATTATACGAAAATTGAGAGTCGACTTACTTTTTTACTTCATCTAAAGGATATATCTTACAATAATATAATATTATAATATTAAATAATAATTATGAATGTTATTATTATAATTATATTATAATATATATTATATATAACAATGTAATATTATAATATTATCAATATATATTTAATAATATAATATTATAATATTATATGTCAAGATTATTAATAACAGTCCTTATAATTGATTAAAAAGATTATATCTCCTATATAAAAATTTATAGTATTTTTCGTCGTTTTTTTTTCTACTTTTCATAATTATCGAGTTAAAATACTTTTTGCGGATATTAATAATTTTCATTATAGACAATATATGTCTGCCTTATTAACTGTTATTAACTTTATAATTATGGCAAAAAAATGAGAAAATTTAAATTAGATGCTACGATGTTCCAAATAAAAGTAACTAGATATTATTGTTAGACGAAATTACTAGTACTTTTATGTTTTCGTGATATAATAATACATATATCATATATATTGACAATATATATCAGTTTCTTAATAAGATAAAATTTAACGTCTTAAAGTAATATCGCCTTTCTTCCAGCTACAGATTCTTCGAGTGATACAGAGCCAACGTTTTCTTAACAAATATAATAAGACATGAAAATATAAAGGATTAAAATGAAAAGTATTTAATTTTAATATCGTTAAAACTAAATAAAATATTATTTTTAATTAAATATAAGAATTCTAATTTTATTGATAATTGTGCACTTTAGGGGGACTTCGATGATCTTGATCTTGACATATGTTGTCAGATCATGACCCTGAGTGACCTCCAACAGATTTTACTTAGCGGTCAACCCTCGTTAAAAAATTAGCAAAAAAAAGTTTCAGAAAGACCGTATTCCTACTACATGCACGATATTAAGTGCTATTTTCTATACCTCTTCCTACTTACAAACGTTAACTTTCTACGCGAAGCGACTCTCATCCCCCCCCCCCTCCTCCTGCAAAGGGACGTACAACTTTTACACGGTTTCGACTTTCTACGCGAAACGAGAGCTACCTCACAGGGTTATTTTTTATAGTAGTGGAGCCCCCCCCCCTGCGGGGGGCTACACTACTGTTAAAAATAACCCAACCCATCCCATTTGTTGGTGTGAGGTAGCTCTCGCTTCGCGTAAAAAGTCGAAACCCACGTACAACAGTACAATCATGGAAGTGTTTTCGCATGGAAAGTCACATGCCTGTACTGTTGCACGTGGGTTTTAACCTTCCACGCGAAACGAGAGCTACCTCGCACCAACAAATGGGTTGGGTTAGGTTATTTTTTACAGTAGTGAAGCCCCCCGCAGAGGGGGGACTTACTGCCTCTACACACACACTTTATAAACGTTTATTTAAGTGTATATTAAAGCAGGAAATTTATTTAATCAGAACTTTTTTGTTAATAATTTTTTAACAAAGGCTGACCGCCAAGTAAAACCTGCGGAAGGTTACTCAGGATCATGACCTTGACAACATATGTCTAAGTCATCGGAGCTGGGTCCCCTAGGCCCGATTTTTCATTATCTGGTTAACTTGTGGTTAAGCTTAACCTGATGTTTTATGGGCTTCATCTATGGTGATGTCATGGATAAAGCTCATTGGGTGAAACATTACGTTAAGCTTAACCATAAGTTAACCAGATAATGAAAAATCGGGCCCTAAAGTTGCACAATTACCATCTTATTCTTATATTTAATCTTTACTACTAATGGTCACTATATAGTGGTTTGTACGTTTATTTATTGTATACAAAAAGCCACTATAATTGACCGGTATTTATAGCAGTTTTTTATATATTTAAGATTATCTTAAATACAGTCTTAAGATGTCAAAATCAATCACAGAATTGTATTAATGCCTCAAGATATTCAAGACAATCTTGTGATAAGAGCGAACTATGAATACCGATCAATATCTTGTCAAAAGAGCCTACTAAAATTTAATATCATAATTTTTTTTTCGCATATTTCTTATAATTAATAAACTTACTACTATTTGTACAGATATGTTAACTTATACAATATGGTAATTATGCCTTTTTTGTAATTCTACATGTAGAAAAGAAGATAGTATTCTTAAGAATACAACAGCGTTTTGTTGCGTTACAATGATTGCAGTATATCATCCTAGCTAGTTATAACATTGCGTAAAGATTAATTAAGACGTTATAAAAAAAAAGATAATTACTAAAATTTTGTTAAGATAAACTCAACTTGAAATTGATCCAAGTATCCATAGCTGCGAGACAAGGCTTTAAGAGAAATAAGTAATATAAGTATATGTATGTAATCACGTAAATCCTCACGATGATATATTGTTTACTTTCCACGTATTTTTTGCACCTGAATTTTATATATATCTTATACGGTCATCGTTTAGTTGTCTTAATATTCACACTTTACGTAACACTTATTTATCATCCCTGTATTCTAAAATAATTGGTTATATATTAAAAAAGCTTCCCGATAGAGTGCTTTACACTTCGATATCGTCACATCCCGTTGTTTTTAATCGGTAAACTTAAAATCTCGTAAAGTTAGTTAAAAGTAATTTCTTGTCCTCAACTGTTCGTCATGAATCATGCTACGTAATGCTTTACATAGTATGAATTATCAACGTCACGCAGTTCTATATAAAGTTACACTTGCGATATGTTGATTCGCCATAACTTCTACAATCGCGTCCCGTATGCCGTAACAAAACGTACAGCCAAATGGGTTGGTTGTATTTGTCGAAGATGCACGATTCAGAACTACTGGTCGCACACTTGCTTTCAATTGCTCGCTCACTCTATCCCATTTTGTATAGGCAGTGATCTATGAGATAAAATTAAGATTCATTAGTATCGTTAACACATCATACATTAAATACGTGAGTAACTATTAAAGATCCTACTGTAACAGGAGATGGGGAAACGTCAATCAACTTTCCCGATTCCGTGGAATTATTTTCAGGGGGCAGAGTCAAAGAAAACTCACAACGGTGGTACATATTAAAGTTATAATGTCCTGGATAATTCGTGTGAAGTACAAACTTTTTTATACATTGGGTTTTAGCATTGAATAAGATATCCTGCAAAGAATCACACCAGTATAAGTAATAAGTGTGAAAAATGGAATCAATAGATAAAGAACTTATTCAAGAATGACGTGGCCTACAATTTCATGTAGAAGCATTGTACTGATCTATCTGCTAATTATTTGGTTAGATCTATTTATTAAATAGTATGGTGTAGCAAATTATTTTATAATTTCAATGTTGGTCCGGCTGTCCGTCCATTCAACTACACGTCTGCAAGACGTTTTCTCAAAAACGACTTAACTTTTTCAAATTCTGTTTTTGGCAATAGATACTCAAGGACTTTAATTTCAACCTTAACATATAATCTGATATTGATATGATAGCGATGTAATTTTGAATTTATTAAAGAGTTTCTCTACCCTCGCAAAAAAACGATAAATTCAAATTTCAAAATATCATTGTCAAACTTGTATTGAAATGGAGGAACGATACTCTGAAACGCAAACTTAGGTAAAATTATTTCTTATACATTGTGAATTTTCATTTTACTTTTTAATAAAACATTTTAGGACCTATATTTATATAATATTTTTTTTTATATAATGAAAGATAATAATAATTGACTCGTATGATTTAAAAATCGAGGAAAGTGTAATGTGTAAAGCCTAATCGAGTCTTGAAAACAAGATGTTAATGTTTACTATATTGTGTGAAATTTATATACTGCGTATGTAGTCCCCCCGCGACGCTGATGGATTTTCAGCATTGACGCATACATATTCACTACCGCAGTAATATCACTTTAGTTAAATTGAGAATCAATTTAACCACTTTTTGATGCCTATAGCATCCTATTAGATCTTAATAATATGTTGGAAGACATATATTAAAATTTAATAATAAATCAATAATTCAAACTCAGAGAAGCTGAGATTGTGAAGAATATCACGAGTTGGCGTTTCGTATTTTATTTCAACTCATAGAAAATACATTAAAGTTTGTATGGAAAATCCGGGGATACCTATATGTTTATAATCATAACATCTAGAACTTTTTTTATAGATAATTTAAAGAAAAGAAGACAAAGTGTATTTATATTGATTATCTCTTTTAGATATATTAATAATATTAATAATTTTAGATATATTAATAATAAGTAATATCTTTAGTGTTAATAATTTATCGTTAATAATTTGTACTGTTCCGATTCAACTGTAAAAATAAGCTCGTATCGTATCACCAGATGAAAGAATGTACTTACCAGACCTAAAGTAAAATAATTATAGAAAAAGTCTGACCGCCTTGTCTTGTCTCGTTTGTGCGCGTGTGGACTATGGATACGCATCTTATCCTCGGCTTTGTAGAATACTCTAGACGGTGCACCAAGCGCACTTAAAACGTCCTCGCATGTATCACCGAACAATACCTAAAATCGTATTAAATTATAACATCAGAAACAAAAAATTAAAAATTGCTTTTTCTTTACTTTATATGTTAGAGGAGAGCCTCGTGTATCACGAAAAAGAAGTTAATTTTGCCAATTTTTTGGTTTTAAGAAGCAATGCAATGGATCTTTTTAAAGATTCTTTATGTTTTATTATATATATTTTCAAATATAGAGAAAAAACATTTTTTGTTAAACATAATTAATTTTATAGAGCCTATAAATAAATATTGATACGGCCTCTTGAAGTTGTGAGTTGATGGAAGTTATTATGCCTTTCGTACTTAAAGCAAAAATATAAAATTTCTTAATTTTTTATATGAAATTATCTTATCAATGAATCAAGAAAATAAGAAAAAGATTAAAAATCGAAAAAATAGTATTTAAAAAAATTACGATTTCGACTAAAAAATTTGATTTTATTTATGCAAAAATAGTTTAAAATCTTTAGTATCGAAAAATAAAAATTATACATATTACCATAATTTCTGTTCTATATACTCCTGTAATAGACTGCATTAAAACTTTTTTCGTCAAATGCTAAATACATCTATTTAGCTTTAAGTTCCAATAGTGTACATTAGAGTTTAGCCATAAAAAAACAGATCTACGACGGGCGAAGGGTCTCCTACAAATTTCTGTGTGCAAGAAATGGACAGATTCCTTAAAACTTCATAATTCATTTTACGTAACTTTATAAATATTTTTTTTAAATATTTTTGATTAAAATATTTTCGTTTTTTTTCGAACTGGTTACCAGGCTCTCCCCTTAAAATAAGTTGAATTTTTTCGCATATTTTGTACTTGATGGAATAAATTGATCAAACAGAGATATTTAATTATTATAAATCACATGTTTGAGATCTCCACTTTATAATTTCTTAAACATTTAAATACTATATTATTTCTTAACTATATTATTTCTTAAAATATATTGATAAAGCGCAACCTCTTTGGTCAGACATCGCTTCTTCGGCTCCAACAATGCTCTCGTTCCAGAACTACCCTCCGTGAAAAGATGTAATCTAAGTCCTCGAGTACGTGCTTTGTCTCGAATGATATCAGCTTTCTCCAAGTACAAGTTATTATGGTAACAAACCTTTTTAAGAATGGATGTTAAAGTTACATTAAATGTTCAACATTTTAATTTATTTTTTAAGTAATGGCAAAAGTCGACAAATATAATTACAAGTGGTAAAGGTGGTGGCGGTGTCTTAGAACCATGTTCTTCGCCGCTACCACCGGCTAGAATATTTCCAACGTAAATCGCCGTTTTTGCAACTAAAGGAGAAGTTCCGTTAGGAAACTGTAATGAGCCTAATCCATGGGCATAACCAGGATGAAATTTTGAATCGATTGGAAAGTAAAACGACAGTCCTCGAAAATTCAATACGAACACCTACAATTTATCATTATAGAAATTATATATCATACATGTATCTTATAAATTTTAATTAACGATAAGCTTTCTATGGTTTTATATATGTGCTCACAAATTTTAGAGAGTTGCATACCTGTTTATCGCTGTCATAAACACCCGGGTGAGTCGCACCAAATGAATGTTCTATTTGCTCGATTGAAGGTAACACTTCCGGTGAATTGAATGGCAAGCCACAATATTTCAATTTTACTAATTTCATGTTATAAATCTCAATTATTTTAAGCCTTTGTACAACAGGATCAAATATAAGCCGAATGCCATCGTGAGGTAAATTTATTACTAGATCTACATCTAACGGATTCTGCGAACATGCATAATGCTGTATTTATTATTTGATTATGCTATTTAAATTTGATGTACGATACAATAGAAGTATCACTTGTTTATGCATTCAAAAAGTTTTAATCTATATGCATTATGCGTGTACATATAACATTCATACTAACACAGACGTTAAAGTATACGTACAGTGTCGCTATAAAGTACTTGCACTCCTCTTATAACTCCGACTTGAGACTGTATTATCGATACTGACTGAGAAAAGTGCATACCTGTAATGTAGCAAACTTAATATTCGGACCTTAAAATAAATTAATATACGTTTTTCTTTGGTATACCAAATAAAAGTTTATTTATACAAAACTATAAGTTGTTTGTAGCTGAACTAATATACATTCAAATTTAAAATAAAACAGAATTTTGTAAATAAAAATTTAAATGATATATTCAGTTGTGTTATGTATTAGTCTCCAATGATACACACACACACACACACACACGCAATATATATATATATGTGTATATATTGCTGTTTATATATTTAAAATTCAACAAAGAAAAGATAAAAAATTTTATTATAATATAACTACAGAAAATAAATATTAGATATAAGAGAATTTTCAAATTAGAAAAGATAGTTATCTATTTATAAAATAGATAAAACATTTTTTAATTACACAGAGACCAATGAAAAAATTAATTTGTATATAATTGGTTTTTATAAATAAAATAAATTACAAATAAGAAAAGTGTTCGATAATATAAGTCAATAAGATTTAAAAAATTGAAACTATTCTCAAAACAGATGATTGAGAAATGAATAAAAGTGAGAATAAAAAATGATAAATTAATACAAACGTAAAATAAGTTATTAGAATAATCTAATTTACATAAGATTGATTTTTACAAATAAAATAAACAAGGAAAAAAGTGATCAATAATACAAGTCATAATACTTATCTTATATCCATAAGACTGGAAAAATAAAACTATTTATTCTTAAAACAGTTAATTAAGAAATGAATAAAAATGAGGAAAAAAAATAAGAAATTAGTATAGATGTAGAATTGTAGAATAAATTGTCAATGTAATTTAATTTACACAAAATTAGTTATTCACAGATAGAATGAATTGCAAATAATAAAATGATTAAACAATAAGAACCAAATAAAGTTGGAAGAATAAAAATTATTTTCAAGGCAGATGACTGACAAACAGAAGAAATAAATAATAACGAGAATAAAGATTGATAAATGTAGAATAAGTTGCTTCTACTTCCAGCAAGATTTTTATTTAGCATTTGTTTATTTTTGTGAATTGTGTATTTATTTATTTAAAAAATCGTTATAAGCTGGCGTTATAATAAAAAAAAAGGAAAAAAAACACTCATATTTTCGTTCTCGCTTGTCGAAGTTTCACGTTCGGTTAGATAACAGAGATAATAGTGGAACGACGCATAAGGAAACAAGGACGAATCGTGCGTTACGCGAGACAAAGTCGACGGACTGTAATCGGTTGTTCTCGTCTCATATAACTCGATTCGATCGTGAAACTTTGACGAGGTAGAGGAGACTTGGTTTGCGTGTCGCGCAAATCATAACAACGCACGCTCGTCGGTCGTGAGCGTTTGCGCTTGCGTTTCGTCACACTTGCCCAAAATAAATTCCCATTGCTCGCATCCGAGGGACTTCTCGGGCACCACCTCGAGCTCCAGCATCTTGTCCCGTTCGTTTAGCTAGCCTCGTACAAAACAACGGAACAATGATGCGTCGCGGAGGAGAGCTGCGTCGTCTATTATCATAAGAACTGCGCTGCTCCTTTGTCCGTCCCCGTTCGATTGTTAATCACCAGATAGCCATATTGCTGTCACATCCCACAACAACAAACCTCGCTCACTATTTTCGCAGCGCTGCTGCGACGTCTACGGTTGGCAAACTGTCATCGAACAGCTGATATGTTGCCGCGGAGCATGAGGCATTCAGAAGAAGGGCCTTTCGCGAAAACGAGATGCGATTATGGCTGCGCTCCGTAACTTAAAGGTAATTATTACATAGGAGCGTCGGGTATTGGAAGCTTATTATTCGCTAAATACAGGTCACGTGATCAAACGTGACGAATGGCAAGCCACGACTTTTGACGTTCGACACTCCTATGTAAAAGTACCTTAAGGTATCTTTTCATGTTGACGCTTATTTTTAGCATCGAAACAGATCGTGTGATCAAAATTGATGCTTAATATTTATCAATTTTGACTACTTAGCTTAACCTCGGATCTATAATAGATGTTTTAAGCCTTAAGAAATTAACTAATTACAGTCGAATTCGAGGAGAATAATCGATTATGATTCGTCCATTTCTTATGGCTTAAGGTTTAAAACTCTATTGTAGATCCGGAGTAAAAGTGTAAACCGCATGTATAGATTATCGGTTAGTCCGAATCTACAATAGATGTTTTAAGCCTTAAATAAAATGCGAAGAGAATAATTAACTCCGATTCGTCTATTTCTTAAAATTACTACTATTGTATTTGCGGGCTTACAGTTATCGATTATCTATACAGTTATCGGTTCTATTTTAGCTATTCATGATGCAATGAGTGAGGAATATATAAATAAAATACATAAAAAAAACTAATCCAATCACATGTCTATCATAAGAACGTACGTAAAATACGATTGCATAATTTTCTTTATGCATATGTTTATGCAGTTATGCAAGTTGTGTAAATATACCCTAATTAGCAATCTCCTAATTAGCATACCATATTGAAGAAACATTTTTTAAATGTTTATATAATATTTTTACAAATATTTTACATTAAATAAATATTTAAAAAATGTTTCTTCAATATGGTATGTTAATTGGGCTGTAGTATGATTACGACTTTACAAAATATGACGTGTAATTAATTAAAGTTACAGCTTTTGACATGTTTATATTCATTGGGTGCATTCAGAACGACAACCGTTCACTGACCGCTCAATAAGCTCTTTTATCTAATTGGTTTATATTTTAGAATCTTACGGAATATACCAATCAGATAAAAGAGCTCACTAAGCTTTATAAATAAATTACTTGTAAACATCTTAGATAAGCTGAAAATAATTTTATTTTAAATTTATCTAGATAAAAGATGAAATTACAAGTTGTTCTATTTAGATAATATTTTAAGATAAGTAACATAGTTTTTAAGCAAAACAATTTAGAATATATAAAAAAACATTTTCATTTATAATATATAAATCATTATTTTTTCGAAACTGGAATATTTCAAATATTCCATATGACAAACTATTTCTGTAAATACATAAAATACATTACACACTCACACACTACACATCTGTCACCGGCCGCGCCCGCAAATTGCAGCTAATCTAGCTTGTGCATGCGCAGGAATCGGAAGATTCCATTATCAAAATTTTCATTCTTAACAGCTGATCAAATAACTTTCTCTCTCTGCCTAGATTCAAAATATTCCTTTTGCAGGGAATCGTGCTTTTACTACATAAAATATCGTCAATGATTTTGGATTTCTTCGATTGTCTGGTTTTTCCGTTGTCTCTTAAGAGAATAAACCCATAAATATAAAAGTGTTATAAGAACCATATTTCATGCGTATAAAAATATGAATTATTCTATTACGCGTAATGGCGACAAATTAATAAAATAACCATCAAGTGCTCAAAGTTACAGCTAAATTTAAATACCCCCAAGGAACACAGCATTGGTAAAAATATATATAACAAAAACAAAATTAAAATTCTACACTTGCTGTGGCTAAAATTAAAAACTCAAAATAAAACACTTCGCGTTCGCAATGTTCACGCATTCTCTTTTAAATCACTTGAATAATTAATAGGTGCAACAATTAGTGCTTCTAAAATGTTGTACATATACATATGATAACGAAGTGCCATTACATGCACGTTTTGAGCGTTGAATCCAGTTGAATCTGCGCAGATTATTGCGCATGAATCTGAATCTCCAGCAATAATTTTCTGTAAATTAAGAGAGGTTATGTTCTAATATATATCCTAAATTCCTAACATATAATACTAAAAATTTATATTTGTTACGTTACATAATGGCGGTATTCCGATTAGAGATGCTCACGCAATTAGAGGTTCCACACAATGAAAGAAACGGGGAAGAGAGAATAAAGAATAAAAATTCCAACCTATCAGAAATCATGTACTATGGAATACATATCTATTGTAGATCCGTAATTATCGTCCATTAGACTATAAAATAAGGATAGAAGTGCTGAAAGCATCCAAACCAAACGCAACTAATGTACAAGATTGCTTTATCAGCAATGTATGTATCAATACATGTCTGATGCATTAATGCATGTTAGTAAAATATTATTTAACAAGTCACGATATATGCTTTGACGCTCGACGCTCTCATATAAAAGGCATCTTAAGCCGCCTTTCAAGATATATTCCATATATATATTCCATAGATATATTTCCATATTCACACTTGCATAGCCGCATAAACATATGCAAGAAAATTATCCAATCGCATTTCTATTATAAAGATGCACGTAAAAGGTGTATTTGGATAATTTTCTTTATGCAGCTATGCAAGTTGTGTGAATACCTTTAAACTTTAAAGGATTCGGTCATTCGGTGTGAATCGTTCTGACAATCGAAACTCGAAATCCGCGGAGATCGATCGATTATGGAAGCGACGATAGTCGGCTACATTCAAGTGCGATCTGCTGACGTTCCATTCAAAGATGGCGTTGACGAGTGCGCCATGTTTCTCGTGATGTCTGAGCGTTAGAGAAAACTTTTTCAGAAAAGCGTGATCCGCATAAGCAAAATGGCTGATGATGACCCGTGGCTATTGAAGGAAGACGGTTGCTTGAACGTGGACACGGAGTGCAAGAGTATTATCTATCACGCCAATCTAAACGTTCTACTCATCACCACTGGCAGCGCACAAGTATACGTGTTCGATGTCAACTCCGGCGTGATCCTGCAGAGGAGTTCTCTGTCGGGTGAGCGTATGCGGCTTCTTCGTCGTGATCAATCACCGCGTAACACTCCGCCGGGCCGGCGTCGAGGAAACGGCAGATTTCCTCCCTCTCCCCTCCGACAGCGTCGTCCCTGTCGCCGTCGCGGCTGTCCGTCCGACGTTTGCGGAATACTGTGCAATAACGCGAGTCAAGGTCGCGTACGTTTTCCCGGAATCAGACGACACTACCTGATTGCCGTTGAAATTTTCCAACACCTGCCTCAAAACGACAAGCTTTGTCTCCACTCCAAAATCCAGAGTCAAGAAGATAATCTTACTGTTGCATTCCGGCCATGCTTTTCACGCCTTCCTGGATTTTGTCTTCGTTTCTTTGTTTCGCGAAAATTGCGTTTTTAATATGCGTGAAAGTAATACAGTGTGATTTAAAGAAATGGATTTATGATAGTCAGCATTGTGCAGTATTCTAATAACGTTTTTTTTGTTATCTTCTGAGAACTAATTCCATCAATTTTACAAATTGCTTTAGCATTTGACCTGATCCAATCATTAAAGATAACATTTTTTATGAAGGATATCTTTATTGTGATGTGATTGCAGTAAAGAAACATTTTTTCGTAAAAGTTCAAGAAATAAAAACATAGAGAATGTTTCTATATATTTTTAAACTCAAAATGTTTACATGATCTTTGCACAATTTTTCCAAGATCATGTGTTAATAAAATAGCAAGATATTAATATTGTATAAAATATATATTATCAAGTAAAATGTAAATGAAATGTTCAAACAATTTAATACGATTATGTGATATTAGCAAAAAATATTTAAACATTTAATATATAGTGTTTTATACAGTAATAAAAATAAAATCAATCAATTTATATTTTTGTATTAATGTTTTTTACAAATTTACATTGAGGTATATATTAATTCTTATATTAAAATATGTATTATTGAAAATAAAAGTGAAAAATATTATGTGAAATGTATAAGAAATTATATAATGTTTATGCTTATAATTGCAATTGTAGGTAAACCAAATGGGAAATTGCAAGGAATTTATTTATCAGATGGAATAGACAAAGTGCTGTATACAGATGGACGAGGGATTGGCATACGTAGTGATTACAATGGGGTCCTGCTATTAGATACAATTTTGCAAATCCCAGTTTCTAAAAGTGAGGATGTTATAAAATTAGAACTATTATTGTCGGAGGCGACAATATTGCTTCAATGCCTACAATGCGTAGAATTGCCAGGTGTAGAACATTTGCTGGAAGTGCTGCAAGAACTGTCAAGTAAAATTGTTACGGCACAAGCAAATCAGAAAAAGGGTATCAAAGCTCAAAAAGTAAGTTTATTATTTTGCACATAAAATACTAAATGTATAACACATTTTTTGCTGTAGTTATTTTAGATTATAGGTGATTATAGTGAGAATATAAAAGTAAATAAATTATTTTAAAGTTGAAACATATTTTTTAGTATATTTGTTAGATATTTATTTATTTAATCTATTTAGTATAAGAATAAAAAGTTAATATATTTTTTAATAATTTAATCTTTATAATATAGATAATTGTATTTTTTACTCAATTAATTTTAAGTAAGTTTTATTTTAGGAGATTCAATATAGAGTTGATTATATATAGATTTAAAATTCTAAATTTATGATAGCTAATATGATTATGGAAATTAATTAAAAATATAATTCATTACATTATATTAAACAAAGATCAAACAATTTACTAAATATATACGAATATTGTGCATACGGATTTAATATCAATATATCAATGCTAAATTTACTAAAATTGAAAATAATAAACATTTTAATTGCAGTGGAATACAATATGTTTGGAATTACCACATGGATCTTTAAAACTCGTCTGCTCTGGCTTAGTAATGGAATTAAAAAGGCAAAATCGGCATATAGCAGCACTGCCCATTGCCTCCGCGATCAATGAACGATTAAATGGCCTATTGCCTAGTCTTGCATTAGAAGGTGGTCCCACTGATAGAGCATTAATGTTTAGTGAAGCAGCACGTCGAAATACTTTTCCAAAATGGCCACATATGAATTACAAGTATGTAACGTATTATGTTGTTACTAGTGTCAATTTCTGTTGAAAGTAGATTATGACATAGTTGCTTTTATTTCACAACTTTTTTTTATATATTTCTGTATTCTCGTTTCTTGAAATAAATGTAATTGCTGACTTATCAGGCAAAATTATAACAGAATAAATATTTTAGATGGGCCTTACCTGATCAAATGGCCCAGGCTGGTTTCTATCATGAACCAAATGCTACAGGAGATGATAGAGCAATGTGTTTCACTTGTAACGTGTGCTTGGTATGTTGGGAGCCTACTGATGAGCCGTGGTCAGAACATGAGAGGCATTCGCCTGCATGTCCGTTTGTTAAGGGTGAATACACACAAAATGTTCCATTGTCCGTGACTCTTGCAACAGCTCCCGCTCGTGAGGCAGGCGATACGGTGGACGTTATAGGTACTACTAATGTCACAGGCCTCGCGGCTACAGCCTCTTCCAGTGGTTTTGTAAATATTTGGAATATAACGAATCAATTGAAGGTAAGTTATTCGAGGGTTTGCATTATCAATACTATACAAAATTTGCAAATATCTTTTCTACAATTTAGCTCAAGAGTATTAAATATTTATACTTTTTTTTTATATTTATCTAGAGGTTTATTTTTTTTATAGCTGAATTTCTGTACACTTTTTGTATTTAAAGTGAAAAAAGTACATGATTGAAATTTGATGATAGCAAAAAGAAAATTGTTATAATACAGAAATAAAAAATAAATCCTGGAATTCTTTGACTAATATTATTTATTTATTATTATCAGTATTGTAAGTTTAAAGTGTTCTTTAAATAAAAGATAATTTACAGTAAATATCATAAATTAATTTTTGAGCTAAAATGTTAAATAATGATTAATAAAATTCTTAATACCTTTGGCCAAAACTGTACATTTACAAGTTATTTAAAAAATTAAGCTTGACATTTTTATATGTATGTTATGACTTTTATTTTTATTAAAAGTAATATAATTTTTTATATTTTTTAAAATAATATACTTATTGTTATTTTGCAGAGAGAAGTATCATTTTATATATCACCCTTGGATCAAGAAATAAACAATAAGGAATCGATACAGTTTTGCGCTGCGAGAAATTTAACACCTCCGTATTTAACAAATTTAGGCTCAGATTCGGATCCACTTTCGGAATACAAGCCATCGTCGTTCTATAAAGTGCAAGTTACAGCGCTTTCAGTAGTGGGATCTCCAGTAACTCTGAGAGAAGAAGCAAAAAGCACCAACTCTTCATCGTCCATAAATATCGAGACGATAGAGCATAAGATTCGACCGTGCTTAGTGTGCGGGGTTACAGTGACAGTTAACAATCCTTCGCAATTAAGAACTTTAGAGAACGTGTGGGCTGCCTCGAGCGATCTAGCGAGCTCGTCATCGTTAGTTCGTGCAATGAACAGTGTAAATAGTGCTGCCAGTGATACTCTAGATATAATGAAGGTAGCGGGTGATAGGTACATATCGTCGAGGTTGCATTATTTAGTACTGTATGACTTTCATCATAAGGCTGCAACGGCGCAGCCCATCAAGGAAGACAATTCTAAAGAATCAAAGACTAAGAAGACTTTATCTGGGACAGGAACCAGCGCCAGTTCGAACGGTGGACGCCAAGAGAGCTTATATCAGGAGCTCTTTCTTGGTAAATTTTTGTATGAAGTGCCAGTTATTGAAGATGTAGATTCGGATATGGTAGTTGGTCCGCATTACGACGGTATCTTTCCGACCACCAATTTAACCGCCTCTTCCTCCAACGGCATTTACTCGAGTCCTATCGGTATTCCTTTTGGTCCAACTCCAACGACGTCAACTCCCTATGATTCCAATTTCCCTCCTATTAATGGTTCGACCCATTTTGCATCGACATCTGACTTGACAACGATAAACAAAAAGAGCTTAGATCTTATAAAGATTTCCAAGGCGGAACCGGTGGTCGTCAAAACGTTGGCGATAAACGCACCGGACTCTCTCCGCATTACGTACATAACTACATCCAAGGACAGAAGATACCTATATGTCGCGATGTGTCCCGCGGTGGATAACGCTTCCGTCGAATCTTCTTCGTCAAATACCAATCAGATGGATGTTGACGACGAAAACGACTTCTTCCCACAGAAAAGTTATATGTACTGGGACCATAATGATAGCCAGTCCAGCAAATTGATAAATGGTGAAATCCATAGTAACGAAAGCAACGCAAATGCCATGTTGTTCCTATACGCTTTAGATTTCACAGGCCCGGTAGTAAAAGTGGCATCAGAGCCGCTAGTGAAGCGAGAGTTACCTTTGGAACAGGCGCCAATAGAACACGTACTCCTTCCACTTCAAGAAAAACAAAAGTGCACGTCGTTTTCTACTAACTCTAGTACCAATTCCACTAGTAATTCAGCCACTCAGGAACCTGCCGGACAAGTTGCTCTTGTATGTAAAGACGGTGTGGTCAGATTATTAAACTTAAGTACACTGAAGACTGTAACGGAGGCAAGATTAGATGGAAAGAAATTCATCTCTGCTACTTATTGTAACAGTAAGTGTGTCCTTTTAAAAATATTTTCAAAAGAAAAACAAACGGGAGATTAATTTGGGATGTTTAAATGGAAGATTAATTTGGAATATATGTGGAGATTGTGTTGAGAATTTGTGTTAAGACTGATGATTTTTTCAGGTTTAGAAAGGTTGTGTGTGTGCACGAGCGATGGCACATTGCATTTCTTTATTACAGCAGAGGAAGAGGATTCAGCAGAAGAGAAAGACGATGTTGACGATGTGAATATGGGTAGTGAGGGAAGTTGTACTTGTGAAAATATAGCTCCTAGTACGTCAACGTCGTCGATTTGTTAGTAAGTTTCATGCAATAAATTTTTGTTTTGAATTTGTAATAGTCGAATTTGTAATAGTTTAATATTAGAACTGCCGAAGATTCCAATTTGATAATTTTCTATCCTTGTTTCTTTGTTACAAAGGAATTATTTTGATATTATTTGTATTATTAGAATTATTTGTATTATATTCACATTTTTAATATTTTGTACTGCATGTTTAACAAAAAAAAATTGAATAATTGACGGAATCAAAACGATATTGTCAACAATTGTGATGTTAATGGCGTTACAATTTTTAATAACATTATTTATAAAATACTGTAAGAGCATATTCCGTTAATATTTATATTTATTAATTTTTTAATATTTTATACGTTTTAGCGATGAGCTATTAGCACATAAATCAAATTTCTCGTACTGGGACTTAGGGCTGTTATACGAACTTACACGATTTAGTCGACATTCCCCTGCATATAGTGCGACCGTCCCTCCGTGTTGGAATGAAATGATGCAAGCTCAGAGACAAAGACGTCATCCACAGCATCTTCATCAATCAGAAGATCAGCATCATACGAGAACATGGCGGTTACAAAGTGATGCGTAAGGAAATAAATATAAATGTTTTAACAGATACGATGAATATCTCAGAAAAACTATATTCCTGTCTTTTAATTGCGGATTTTCTAAATTATTAAATTATCTGTATGTTTATTTAATATTTTTTTATATTTATATATATATATTTTTTTAAATATTTTTAATATTAATTTCTATTTATCCTTTTATCGTTTTTATTTTTTATGTTCTTTTTTAATATAAATATTTTAGTGATTTAAAGGCTATCTTACAGTGTGTGATAAATGAAACTATTTATATTAAAATTAAAAAATTTGTAAATAAAATAGTACGTTATATTTTTTGATAAGAAAAGATTGATGTATGAAATTGTACAAAGAATATGTGATTAAAAAGAAGATACATTATAAAGTTGTAACACGTTTGTATGTTATGTTAGGACTACTTGGGATGAACACGTGTTCGAGCTTACTTTACCCCGAAGCGCAGCAGGAAGTATAGGACACGTTGATGTCCGATTTACTTTGCACCCATTCTATCAAGAGTTACCGAATATTCAAGTTACTTTGTTGAAGCAAAATATAAAGAGGATCGGTCATCAGAAGATACCAACCACCCCTGTAGACGAAAGAATTGAGTTTAACATAGGAACCGAACAAAAGAGCGAAAATCCAGTTATCACAGAGGAATATCAACGCCAGCATAATACCGAAATCCTCTGTGGTCCTATCGATTTACATCGTTGCGTAGACCTGTCTTGTCATATGGGTTGTGTAACGTTGACAAGTCCGAAATTGTTTCGCTCGAAAGCTAGGACGTTACTTGTTCATATCAAAGCTTTAGTAGATCAAAAAGATGGAGTGAGTAATGTACTTGTTAATCTTTTAGTATGTTATGTTTCTTTATACACGATAGAATCTGTGTTTCATTAAAGTATTTTTTTCTACTTTCAAGACGTCTGCCAAATCTAAAACAAATTTAGCAGAAAGTAAACCACCCACTTGTAAAAAGCTGAAGATATTTGAAGTACGTCCGCTTGTGCCCCCTAATACTGGAGAGCGATTTGACGAGGGTGCAAATAGCAAGAAGTTAGGGTGCTATGTTGGTAAATATAATCAGAAAATTTATTAATATAATAAACGCTTTAAAATAAATTTACTATATATATATGAAATATTTTGTACTAAATAATTTTACAAATATATTTTTATATTTTTTTTATATGTGCGATAATTTTGTCACCAGATTTTCAATATAATTTATAAGAAAATAATTATTGTTTTTGCATTGATAATTTTACACATTTGAAAACTATACACTTGTTTTTTATTTAAGGGTGCAATTGGATTTACGAGATCTCAATCACAGTGAGATCAGTAAATCCTACCAGCATGCCCGACGAAAGAATGCAAAGATGTGCTATGTTAGAATCCAAAACTTTTGTCGATAATCTTTTAAATGTCGCATGCTTACAAGTACCTGTCGAGTAAGTAATAAGAATAATAGAAATTTAACAATGTTTAAACTTATGAAAATTAACACTCTAAATAAATGCGTTCACAGCTCTCCCGTCGTACAATCTATAGCTCTTGACATTTTAATATGGGTAGCCTCAATAAGATTAACGAGATTGCGCAGCGTTCAGAACAATGCCGAGATTAAAGCTCTTCAATTGGAGACGATACGTTCTGTGCAAGGACGACTATCCAACTTATTACGAACATGTCTCTTGCATGCTGGCCGAAGTATAGCGCACAAATGCGTTAAATTAATTATTCTTTGCAGCGGGTGAGTGATTATTTGAAATGAAATTGACACCGCTAATTATGTAAAAAATTTACGAACAGAAAAAATGATTGTCCTTTTTAGGGGATTTTGTAACATAGAGGATTCATCGGCTCAAACTTTTGACGAGGCCATGGTTGCTGTATTGATCAACTTGTTGCCATCGATAATAGAAGTTCACTGGGCTGGTTCACTGAGATGGCTCCAATTACTCATTACTAGATTTTTGCCATTAGATAAAAATTACAATATTGCACATCAGTGTGTTACCTTGATGCAACAGATAACCACTGAAGTATCTAATAGAGTGAATCCATATCATTTGCTGCTCGCAACAAGGTTGTGTATTTCTCAATTGTTTTCTTATACCCTTATAGAAATCTATAAGTATTAAATTGGTTAGTGATTAATTTTTTTGAGTATTAAAAGGGCATTAACAACAGTGCTTTTAATACTCCAAATAATTAATGATTTTAATCAATTTAATATATATATTTTAATATTAAATTTTTTAAGGATAATTTCTATATTTTTTCGTTATAATCTTAACGAATACATTTTTTCTCCAGATTTGGTCTATATAATACGCCTTTTGAAACGGAACTTTTCGACTTAGAACCACCAATGTTACCAAAGTTTAGTTCAATTCCCGTGACGTTTGCGTCTGTTGTAACTGGTGAGCAAACAGGCCCTCCTATCGCTTCGTCGAGTGCTATATACTCGTCTAAGATATCGCAAGATTCTATTGATTTGAGAGACCTACTCACACTGCCTACACATCCCGCTAGTGAATTTGTAATATCCAGCAAGTTGAAGGCATTGTGCACTAATCAGAATATGAAAGGTCTTCTCGAGGTAATATTATATAATAAACAAGATAATTGTACATCGATTGTATTCTATATTATTTATGATATTTGAATGTTGATTTAGGTTGAACCTCTTCATTTTACCTGTCATGCTGCCTCCGACGGCACAAAGATGGAAAAGATCGATCCTGGTACAATTACAATTAATATTGGACCTTTGTATGATAGTGTAGCGACAAGCAACAATGGTGTGCCTGATATTAAAATACATCACACATATGTAAGTATTCCCTATATGCATTTAAATCTATAAAGAGTTGTGGGTGGTACATCTTATTTTAATGAAACAATGTGTGAGTTATTTCTATGTGTAAGAGCAAACACATAAATTGAATCATTACTTTGTTTAAAAGCGATGCGTTATCAATAATAATAATAATAATAATATAATTATTTCGTGCAAATGTGACTTTAGGTTATGGACAATAAACTCGAGCAGACTCGAGCACAATTGTAAAATATATACCATCTATGTACGAAATAATGCGTCAAATTAATTCTCAGCATTTGTAGAGTAGGCAAGGCGAATTACATTTTTTCGCAATTAACGATGGCTGTGTTCAGACTGTTCAGTCATAAAATGGCATATACAATATAGATGTTAGAGTAGTTGAATTTTAATTTAGATAGAAATATTAATTGTAGAACGTGGATGCTGGATCGCTAGGACCACATGTTCAAGCTAAATCGACAGCTACATTAAGCGATCTGCTTAGTATGTATACAGGAAGAGTGTTAAAGAAGCCGTCTGCGCAACTATTGCTCACACCCGATGAACAATCGGATTATGATGAGGCTAATGAAATGTCTGGTGACAACCAGACTTGGCATAGCACGCAAAATAATATGCCTAGTTCACACATATTAAGTTCCATTATAACAAAAGAAAAGTCATGTGTACAAAGTATCAATACTGCTGTAAACAAAGTTGAGGAGGGCAATCCTAAAAAGGTAGATTACATAGACAAAGACACACGCACCATACTTATTTTTTCTATTTTTTTTTTGTAAATTCTTGTTTCTAAGTTCAGTGATACACTATCCTTTTATCGTTCAATCGCTTTGTTAATATGCTGATTATAATAGAGACACTCGTTCGCTAAAAGTTTTTTATCTGTCAAATGCAGCTGAGGGTGCTAAATGCAAGTTGCATGTGTTACACGGAATTTATTATGTAATTAATTAATTATGTATTCGATGTTAATATTATCCTTGCATATAATTACTGCATATATTATTTTTCGTACGTTCACGGGTTTTTTTTATTACCATTTTTTAAATTTTAAGTTATTCACAGCAAAGAACTAGCTATCTTAATTAGTTTTATATTAAAACCATTATTTATACAATTTCCATTTTTTACGTGCAGCTGACACAGTTTATTCTTTTTTTATATATTCGCTTTACTATTTGATGCAGTTATAGGACTAATTATAGTCTATTTAATGTATCGAGTATCTCATCTTATTTTTTATGTATTTTCTTGTATTACACGAAAATCGTGCGTAATGAGAATTTTGCAACAGACTTATTTTTCTGTACACATAAATCAACAGATCTACAAATGTGCATATTCAGATAATTACAAAATTGTGTTTAGTTATGTTTCAACTTATAATTCAATTGTTTGAAGTGTCCCATAATTGGCGACCTCAATATAATGACATATTCTATAATTAATGTAGATTGGATATTATTCATTAACGTTCTAACAAAGAAATATGCGCTCAAAATTAATTGAAAATATAATTTTGTACTTATAATCAATTTTAATTTGCAGAGAGACTTTTATTTGCTTACAATTTGAAAATATTACAATATAAAAATTGTCATTAAAATTATGATCGCAAATTGTCGGACATTACGATGTAATTTTTTATGTGTTTCAGTATGTATCCAAAATACAATTGCCTATCCACAGTAATAATCGCCGCAATGAATAAAATAGCATTCTGCTTTTTTATATTTTTGTCACATTGCGTTTGAAAAGTGTGTAAATTAAAAAAATAATTATTTCATTAGCGATTAATAAAGTATGTATATTGCAGCGAGAAGATATTACATTCCCATGGGGGAGGTTATTATGCTTGCCACCTCAGCAAGCATTAGTCGTCGAACGGATGCATTCGGGAGCTCGTCGATTCGTTATTTTAGATTTCGGATCACCCGTATTACTGACCGATTTGATGATACCTTCGTGCAATGATCTGGTATCGTTATCCATAGATATCTGGACTAAAAGCGAAGAAATAGACGGCACACGTCTTATCGTCGCAGGTGATATTGGAGGTAGGCCGTTGATCGTCTGCGATCTTCAGCCGCCACCTGTGTGTAGATATCTGAAGGTAAAATATGTAATACATTAATAATTATATATATAGATCTTTACCTTAGTTATTTCTTTTCGCCTCAAATAATGTTCATAAATCTCTTTTTGATTATATTTGCTTTATTCTTCAAGTGTTTAATATCTCTGAAACATCTTACAGTTAAAGTTGAAGTCACGATTTTGTGTATACAATATATTTTTAATTATTTATTTAATTTTTCTTTTTATATTAATCAGCTTGTCTTCCTTTTACTTCTATAATAATATAAATATGAATTTTCTCTGTAAATTAATTATTTTATATGATTGGTAGATTACTACAATAGGACGCTATGGAATGTCCACAACTACGTGTAAAATACCATTAGGAATGTTTTATGGACATATGGTAGTTTTGCCTGGCGAAGATTATTCAGAAACAAATGATGCTTCATCATTTGATGCTGATATTTTTGATTCTTCTTTACAAGCTACCATTGATACACAATGTAATATATTATCGGCTTTAGCAGAAGATGTACAATGCAGGTATTGCATATAAGATAGAATAAAAAAATGATTTCATGAAAATAATGAGTATATATATGCGCATGTGTTTTCTGTTAAAATGTATAGAAATATTTTTTTTTATTTTCAGATTTAGTTTAGCAACTGAAAGACTAAAAACTTTGTTGGATCCATTATTGTGTTCGGAAACTCCTAATGTTATGCATATGCAAAATTATCTATGTTATAATAAGATATCTAATGAAAGTAAGGAACAGCCATCGGCGAAAATAATGTCGACATACCAAGTGAGTTATGATTATGAATTGTTATTTTTGGGTTGACTCAAGTTTACTATTTTATATAATTTTAATACATCTTAACACACTTATTGATTTATCATATTGTTATAGGAATGTATTATGTTCCAACATCAATTAAATGTCGTACGGAGTGTCTGGCGACGTCTCGAGTGGTGGAGAGGTTTGCGGAATGTGCCAACAACATCTTTCGCGAACGCACCCAGCGATAAATTACGAGTTCTTGAAGAGACTCTTCTTGATATTCTATTATATATCGTGTACGAAATTGGCCCATTACCTAGTGTATGTATATTACAGATATTAAATACAAAATTATATGATAAACTGTCAAAATGATAAAAATCCAATATCAGATATCTCTCAAAAGCCACGATCACTTGTGCTGCGTTTTTGACGTATCTGATATTAGCACGACATTTGGTTTCATTACTTTATACGTGTGACAAGATCTGTATATGACGTGTTTTTCAAACAGATATACCGACCAACGTCATTATGTGAAGTTTTCACTCCAACAATTTGTGAGAAATTTTTTCATTCGATGTGCGTTGTAACGCCAGCCCCACGTTTGCAACTTCAAGCTGCTGCGCTCTTAGCTGGCATGGCAGGGCATCAACCATGGTGGGGCAACTTCTTATCTAATACCCTTATAAATCTTTATTCGTCGGCGTCTACATATATTTTCCCACAAGATAGGTGAGGCTTTATATTTATTTAAATATATTTATATTTAAATATATTTTTTAAATCAATATAAAAATATTTATTGTTTTACGCATTACTTGTGAATATTATACATATAAATATAAAGCAATAAGATATACAAATTTGAAGATAATTTAAAGAAAGGTCGCTTCTTGTTTTATTAATTTATGATTGTTTTATATGTGATTTATAAAATATGAATTAATATTTAAATATAATTTTATAAAATGCATATCTTTTATAATTAAATTTTGTTTTTAGGGTGTTTATTTTATTAACATTCCTTGGACGAAAATCATTAATAGCCGGGGGAAATAAATCTTCAGTTATTGAAGCCATGGTTCGTACGTTGGGTAAATTATTGGCTCCTCTTACAAATGTGCCAGCCAATTCTAATCGACTGGATATCACCTTAATAGGCTGGGTATTATTATTTTTGTCGGTATGCTTAGACACCATCGCACCACCGCCTTGTTTTGAGGACAATCACGAGAAAACTAGAGAGCAAGGTATTTAATATATAGCGTGTTTATGCACAAAATTTTTACAGTATTTTTTTCATGATTGTCAATACATTTTAAAAATATGCTAGAAAATTAATTAATAAAAGGAAAGCAGTTCTACATACGTATGCAAAAATATTTTTAAAACAAATCAGTACTTTAGTGCACTCTAAAAAGAAAATAAAATGTTTTTTTATTATAACGTTTTTGTATATATAACGTTTTATAATAACGTATATATATACGTTTTGTATATATAAGGTATATATGTAACGTTTTTCATTTGGAAGGTTTATTTTCCCGTTGGGAGTTTATTCAAGGAGAATCGGCCATGCAAAGGAGATATGTAAATGCTAACCGATCGTCAGCATCTCGTAGTTACCGTAAAAGATTACAAAAGCGATTATTGCATCATAAACAGCAACTTCATGAATTGGAACAAGCGAAAAAATCTGCAGCGTCTAAAGTATGTATATAATGTTAAGCGATTATTTTTATTTATAAAATAACCATTAAATTAAAAAATATATATATAATTTAGGGATTGATGACTCTTTCATCTGACGCCGCTACATTGTACAATAAAGTGGAAGCAACCTTGAAGGTTCAAGAACGTTATTTCAAGAAGACACTAAAGCAACATTCCGCAAAACATTACAAGGATATTCTTAAGAGAAACGAGTCGCTGCTTCGCAGTCCGTGTTGCAGTCAAACACGACAATCCAGTACCAGGTTGGTATACGAATTTTGTTATGTATGATTTTTAAGATATGATTTAATGTAACTCGAAAAAAATTTTTTTATTATTTATATATTATTACATGCATATTTACAGCAAATCCGATGTCATGGATTTAGAAATCGAGTATAGTGTGACAAACTTATCTCATCAGAATGTTTTACCAGTGGCTCGCGGTCTTATTGCGCTTATTTTACACAATTCGCATAATGTGGATATGTTTCTGTTAGCTTGCAAGGTAAGATCTAAGTTTGAAAAGACACAAACTATATCAATATGCATGGATTCTTGTCAGACTCATATATTGTAAGATTTCATTTATTTAAAATTCACTTTAACTTGATAAAAAGAAAGTCGAGTTTTGTTATTCGCGAAATTTTCTTTCTCAAAATGCACAAAATTACATTGTTATTATATATAAATATTTTCAAAATACTATAGTTTGGCTTGGAAAAAAGAAACCTTATTTTGTATAAATTTGTAAAGTTCTATATATATTATTTTTTGTTTTTACAATCAGATTTGTAATTTATAAATCTAATATGTTATAAAATACGCAAAAGGAAACCAATTTTACACAGATTATGGGACATGACTCTTCTGTTCTCTTTTAACGATATTTATACAGATAAAGCAATTGGATCTACAATATCTACATGGCTTCGTATTTATATCTATAATTATGTTTTTGAATTATCGTACATAGGTAGTCGCTAGGCTAGTAGTATCTACACGTCCCGCAATAGGCTTATGCGAGCTTATGACCGAAGAACAACTCTTGAAATTAATCAGATTGGCAACGGACACGTCCGACGCTGCTTGGTCGTCGCATGCTGTTTCTTGTCTTCTAATGGATCTACTAGAAGGTGATTATAATTTATATTATAATGTCTTTATTACGAGAAAATAATGATAAATAATTCATAATACTTCGTTTACACAATAAATCTTTAAAGTATTAGAAAATTTGCTATCTTTTTCTTAAAATAAAATAGTCAATTCTAGCGATTAAAGTACAAAATAAATAGATAAATTCTTTGGTTTACAGGAGGACGATTGTATCCTAAAGCATGTACTTCTACACATGAAGGTAGTCCGTCCGAAGAGATTTTGGAGACTCTGGGAAGTCATACGGACGAAAGTCGTACGGAGGAGGATTCAACTAACGTCGCTAGTACTAGTGCACCTTCTACTGCCACATTAGGTGAAGGGTTTGCTGAAGGCGATGCAGACGAGGATGTGCAAGATAATATTGTGGTAACTTCAACCACTCCTGGTACGTCAAAATCCAATGGTTACCTACCATCTCTTTTGGAATCGGACGATAGCGAATTGGAAGACTTCCTGGACGACATATTGGAACGTGGCAGAAATATGTTGAAGAAAGATAGCACAGTATCGAAAATTTTAGCTTCTGCCATTGCTGGGTATCTTATCTTCTTATATTCTATATTCTATATTAAAAAAAAAATTTACACACACACACACACACACACACACACACACACACACACACACACACACACACACACACA